GAAGAACAGATTGGTATGCAGAATAGAATTTTTATTGATGTAAAAACTGTACAGGAATATTTGTGTTCACTAAATATATATAGAGAACAGACCAACATGACTTTTACTAACCAACACAACTATTACAAACCAACACACCTATTAACAATAGAAACTACCCATAACTGCCTTTTAGAAACTGCCCTATTGTTTTTTATTTAAATTAATTAAATATGTAAAACACACTAAACAACACCACACTAATTGACTCTATACTAACTGACCCAAACATCGACTCATTACCCATTCGGTTATATGTGAACAAAACCGATTAAATCTAACAAATGAGCACTTCTAAGAGCTTGCTAACAATGGGTTTTTGCCCGGGTCATGATAAAATTAAAATAAATACTCGAGTATTAAATATTATATTTTAACAAGGCTGAACTTTGTAGAAAATTGTTGAATTAGCCTTTTAATGTATGCCCTATTTCAAATCTAAACACGAAAAAAGTTTACTTGAGAAAATACTACAAAATAGAGGAAATGGTCAATCTTGGCACCAAGGTTGCGGTGGATGACATTAATAGCTCATCTTCTTGAATACCTGGCTGCTAGAATTCTTGATTGGATTTTATGGTCTTTGTATTGTTCGTAATGTACATGGAACCAAGGCAATAAATGAAGTTGGAATTGTCTTCTTACTACTTAGTATTTTGCCTTGAGGTTTTGACATTTAGTTTTCTATGTTAATTTTTAACTGTTTGTAATGGCTAAAGTGTTTTGACATATAGTTTTTGTGGAGACATTAAGTTTTATGGACAAGTATATTTTTGGTTTGGGCATTACTCAGACACTCCCATTAAAGTGTCTTAAGTAAATATAAATTGTATGTTACATGTTGCCATTTGGCCTTAAACACTATTTTTTATGCAGAAGAAAGTGTAGGTATTATATTAATAGCTGTGGTGGTTGTCTTGATGACCTATGATGTTACCAAATAACAAAGTCCTATAGCAATTGTTATTGGAAATGGTCTTGCATTATCCTCCACTGTTGTCCTCGAGGTAAGCACTGATCTCTATTTAGTAGGTCTTGCTGAAGGATCTTAATTTTAATGTCTGCTTTTTTCTGATATAGCTATTTTTATGGTTTTATCTGAAATCAATCTTAGCATTTAAGACTTCAATTCATTTTCCGTAAGGTCGACTTCAATATCGTAATTAAAATGAAACTGAATTATAGGGGTAAAGAAGTTTTTTAAGGAAAAGAGAAGTTTATTTGGGGATAAAGAAAAAACGAAAGAGGAAGTTTATTTAGGGATGGAGGGAGTATTATAAAGATTTTTATGAGTTGCCCTTGATGTGATGGAAGAAAGTGATTGTAAAAAAAGTAAGAGCTTATTTACACATTCATCAATAGTTATTTGCTAAAATAAGAAATAGAAAAAAAAGTTTGGACAACCCAAAAATGATAATGAGAAAGAAATTAATGAACAGAAGAAGTATTAAATATACAGAGACAAAGGAACTACTATATGCATAATTTCAAATTTATGAGATATTTCATAGACGAAGAAACTGTGGGGTTTATATCTAATTTGATTTTTAAATTCTAGTCTCTATACAAAAGCAGCAGGAATTTATTCCCGCTCAGGGCAGTTTCAGTCCGATTGGGCCGGGTAGAAAATGGGCCGTACACTCAAACTACATACACAAAACTAAGTTTAACTTTCAACCGCCATCCTGATGTCACCAAAAAGCAGTTTATTCCCACTGAAAATATATATATCAAACTGGAATTGACAAAAAACATGAGTAAAGTATCATCGATGTCAATCTTACATCGTGGACTTCATTTTCTAGAAGAATCGGTCTACATAGACTAGAAAAGATGATAACATGTACGATAAAATGCGAAACAGAAATTGAAAATATTTTCAAATAAAATATATTACTCCCTCCGTCCTATAATGATCTTCCCGGTTCGCAAAACGAAGAAAAATTCCAAGTTTTTTCAATCTATTTTATTTAAATATTGGTATAGAAATAAAAAATAAAATATACATATTTAAAAACTACACCAAAAGTTCAACAAAACAAGTGGTGACAAGAATATTTTATTTTATCATATAGGCAATGAAAAAACACAAATAAATATAAATTCCCGTGAAGTTGGAATACTGCTCTGGGAAGATCATTATAGGACGGAGGGAGTATATATTAATTAGATAAAATAATATTTTAAAATTATTTGATATAATAAATCTAATAAAATTTATTTTATACCAATATCTAATATCATTTTTATTTAATTTGAGGTCAAAGTTTACCAATGTCATGGGAACCCCTCTGCATTTACATATATTTGAAATGTAGTGACCCCTGATTATGTGTTATTTTTATGATTTGTACCGTTTATCATTTCATAAAATTCTAGCTGTGCAACGCACGAGTTAGAATCTAGTTTATACTCAAACCCCAAAATTGATCACAATTCTTGAAAATTTATCCATTTATGAATAACCTTAGATTTAAAAAGATTTTAAAATCTAAATTGAATATCTTCATATTTAAATGACTTCTAAAAATCCAAATTGAATACCTTCAATTTTTAAATATTTTTTAAAATTTTAATTGAATACCCACTTCATATTATACGGAGTAGTTTATTTCAATTTTTTACCCCCCACCCCCCTCCCAATGAAGTTTTGAGCCAAAATTACAAATTATATATATATATATATATATACACACACACACACACACACATACATACATACATACATACATACATACATACACACACACACACACATATATATATATGGAACACGTGAGTCATGTTGATTTAACTCGTAGGTAGGGGTGGACACGGTACGGTTCCGGTACCGCCACCCCTTGGTACCGGTACCGTGACCGGACCGGCCGGTACCCGGACCGGACACCCCCAAATTAATTTTTTTTTTGCTTTTTTATTAAATTTTTAAAATGTAAAATTGATTTATTTTTTTGATTATTTTTTTGAAAAATCTAGTGTCCATAAAAATAATTGAGATCTATGAAAAATATTAAATGTGATTGTTAAAAAATTTGGAAGAGACTTATTTTGAGAAAGAGAGTAATATTTATAAGTTGCAAGCTTGCAGGACCACTGGACATTTTGAGAAAGAGAGTGCAATTTGGAAGAGAATTATTCTGGAGCTGAGAAGCTGGACCGCCGCCGGACATGTTGCAAGCTTGCAGGAAAAAAAAACAACTCACGGTACCGGAGGTTCCGGGACGAAAATTTTGGAACTGGTACCGGTACCGGTTCCCGGCACCGGTGTTACGAACCTTCGACGGTGACGGTAGATGGTACCGGCGGTACCGTTTCCGGTAACGGTACCGCACCGGTACCGTGTCCAGCCCTACTCGTAGGTCCCTACAATTCCAAAAAGACATTTAAAAGCTTTTACATTTTGTGGTAATACTAGGATGGGACATTTTTAAAAACTTCATGAAAAAAGAAAATTAAAAAATAAGGAAGCTAAAAAGACAAGGCCCTGAACTTTATTAACATAAAATTTTAGAAAATAGGAAAAATACATTTGCAACCATCATTAACAGAATATGAAACGAACTATTC